CAAACGCTGTTTCCTCCGGCCACGTAGTGTGAAAATGCGGCTCGCTGCCGGGGATGCTCTGCCTGGGCACGCTGCCTGGTACAGCTATTGCTCAGGTCTGACGCTGTTTCTGGTATGACTAATGTTTATGTTTGTCTAGTGGCAATTTTTTCCCCACTTTACAACAAAAACAGAAGCAAGAGAATAAAAAAACCAAACAAACACACCCTTCAAGTCACAGCGTATACCACCAGGTTTTATCTCCTTGCTAGGGGCTGAGTCACACTGGAACCTGCCCCACGGCTTCTTTTGGATGAGTGATGCCAGGGTGCTGCGCTCGGACGGAGGATGCTGTGAGGGCACCCACGTCCCCAGGGGGGATTGCGGGGTCCTCTGGCGTGGCTGGAGGCAGTGGCCCTGGTGACGGCGGCTCTGGCCATGCTGGTCCCAGAAGGATGGGGAGGAAGCCATCCGGAGCATTTCCCACTGCCCACTGCGTGCCCCCGTGCCTCTGCCTCTCTTGGCCACGTCACGGGCACGTCCTCCAACACCCTCCAGATGAACTTTCTAATTTACATGCATTTTAAAAAAAAAACAAAACCCAAAACCAAACAAAAACCATAAACATCCTTTTTTTTTTCTTTCTTTTAATCAACACTGATAATGAAAGAAACGGAAAGATAAATTCCCCTGATCCCAAGCCAAGGATAACATTGCAGTCCTCCCGACGTGTGTCCAGCTGAAAAGGCGGGAGCCTCACAAGTCCGTGGGAGTTTCAGAAGGCTGGTGGGGAAGGAGGGCTCTGTCAGCGGGAGGGAGCCTCTCCCTTTCCTGTTTTGCAAAGAACAAGGTGGTACAAGGTTGGCCGGTGACCCTGTTTTGTCTCGCGGTGGATAAAGTACTTTCCCATCCGCTCTCGGAGAGGATGTTCAGTCAAAGATGCAGAAACAGGTTGATGTTGCAGAGCTTACACCCCTGGCAATAAGTTAAATTCTCGGGGAGGTTTGCAGGTGCGGGTCATCCTTCCTTCCCCGCACCCCCAATTTTCAACTAGTCCGTAAGACAGGAGCGGTACGTGCTCTTCTCCATAGAAACAGGGAGTTAAAAACCGAAATC